TTTAAGACTTGTGGACTTCAACTCCCAGAGATCCTCAGCCAGCAAAGCTGGCTGAGGAACTCTGGGAGTTGAAGTCCACAAGTCTTAAAGTTGCCAAGGTTGGACACCCCTGGTATAGACCATTTCACATGAAGTAACTTTTCTTAAAAGCCTCCAGTGAGGATGGAGCATCCCACGATTTCCGCGGTCATCGTTCCTGGCAGGACCCAGGAGCGGCTTCTGACATACAACGGGGATGCTGCCATGGCCATAAGTGTGAAAAACGGTCCAAAGCCCCCCTTTTTCCCTGTTGTAACTTCGAAGGGCATTAAACGAAGGGTTGCCACTCGTAATTGTCTGGTTTGGTTCTGCAACCCAACAGGACGGACACAGACTTCAGAGGATAATTAGGTCTGCAGAAAAAACAATGGCTACCCACCTGCCTTCCATGGAGGACCTGGATCCTGCACCCTGAGCCAAAAAGAGGGCTGTGAAAATATCTGCAGACCCCTCACATCCCGGACAGAAACTGTTTCAAGTCCTTCCCTCAAAATGACGCTATAGAGCATTGAACACCAGAACAACTAGACACAAGGACATTTTTTTCCTGAAAGCCATCACTCTGCTAAACAAATAATTCCCTCCACACTGTCCAACTATTTACAAAGTCTGCACTACTATTACTATTAATCTTCTCATCAGTCCTTATCCCCCATCCTCTCCCACTTGTGACTGTTTCCGAGTATGATTTGATTGTTGATTGTACCCTATGACTATTATTGTTTTACTTGATGATTCTTGACTCTCTTCTTTTAGGGACATCGAGAGCATCTGCACTAAAGATAAATTCCTTGGGTGTCCAAGGACGTTTGGCCAAGAAAGAATTCTAGTCTATCCTTCGTAAGTCGAGGACTCCCCGCGCCGCGTTGCTGGGCCGGCGGTTTGGCTGCGTGCAGGGGGGGCAGCGGGCGAAGCGGGACCGCCGACGCCAAGCGGAGCCACTCCGGGCCCCGGGACCGGCCGCCCCCGACCGCTCGCCGGCCACTCCCGGGCGCAGGGAACGAGGCCAGAGCCGAGCCGGCCTCCCCGCGTCGGGCCGTGGCTCCAAGGCGGCCAACGTCCGGCTTTCCCGGGCAGGTGAGACGGGTTCTGAGGGCGCCTCCAGCCCGGCAACCCTCGGCCGCCGTCGCGGCTTCCTAGCGGCTGCTTGTTCCGCACCGGCCCGGCCCGCCGCCCGAAGGTGGCGCGCAGCCGCTGCCCGCCAGGAGCCGCCCGCCGCCCGCCCCGTCGGTCCCGGCCACCGCTTACCTGCCTGCCTGCTCTCGTCGCCGCCGCCGTCGCCGTCGCCCTGGAAGCTGCTCGCTTGGGCTCCGCTTCCTTTTCAGGGACGGCGAGGCCCGCCCTGGAGGGAGCGGTCACGGGGTAGCGCCTGCCCGCCCGGCAGCTGCTGGGACTTCCCCGGATCGGGTTGCAACGCGGCCGGGACAGCAGCGGAGGCGCCGGTAGGGAGGGGCAAGGCAGGCCGGGCGGAGCCGCTTCCCCGCCTTCCCTCTCGGGCGCACCTGCTGGGGCCCCGGCACCTCCCGCCAAAGCCCCCCCCCCCCGTCCCAATTTCTCTCTCTTATCTATCTATCTATCTATCTATCTATCTGTCTGTCTGTCTGTCTGTCTGTCTGTCTATCTATCTATCTATCATCTATCTCCGTATCCTATCTCTCTCATATATTATTTATATATTATCTATCGATCTATTTCTCTTTGTCTGTCTGTCTGTCTGTCTGTCTGTCTGTCTATCTATCTATCTATCTATCTATCTATCTATCTATCTATCTATCTATCTATCTATCTATCTATCTATCTATCTATCTCCATATCCTATCTCTCTCATACATACATACATACATATATATTCTTAAGTTTTCGCGGGTACTTACATGTATGGTATTCAGCTTTGTTCGGGTATTTCCCGTCATTATAGTTGTGCACAACTATAATAACGTGGAAAAATACCCGATCAAAGCTGAATACCATATATGTGTGTATAATTTTATTTATATATTATCTATAGATCTATCTCTATCGATCTATCTCTCTTTATCTATCTATCTCTCCATCCATTATCTATCTATGTATCATCTATCTCTCTGTTTCTCTGTCTACCTACCTACCTATGTCTGCCTATATCTAACTCTACCAATTCCTCTCTACCTCTCTTTCTCTACCTATGTGTCTATCCATCTATCCACCCATCTTTCCCTTTTTATCTCTGTCTCTCCCTCTCCCTATGTGTGTCTCTGTCTCTCCGTCCATTGGTCCATCCATATTTTGGATTGTTTTTGCAGGCTGCAGCCACGGACACTTTTGTGTATTGTGAGCGTGTAAATTGTCTGCATCTCCTTCCTCTCATCTTGGTGGACTTGACAGCCTAGATTAGGGTGGGGCCTCCATCACTGGAGGCTTTTAAGAAGAGATTGGACGACCATTTGTCTGGAGTGATACAGGGTCTCCTGCCCTGGGCTGGACTAGAAGACCTCCAAGGTCCCTTCCAACTCTGTTATGATTCAAGGATTGAGCGATTCTGCAACTGCACCCTGGAAGCCCCACCCTGTTTTGAATCCAGGTGAGTCCTGGCAGCTTTCCTGGAGGAGGAAAGGCCTGGATCGCTTCACCTCCCAGGTGCTCTTAGAGACACCAGATCACTAAGATAAAACAATGTCCGTTTAACATATCCAGACAGTTGGCAGGGAATTCATATTAAAGAAACTCTTATTTTAGGGGCCTTTTTGTGGCCATGAGAAGATGCTAGAAGGAGGAGAATCAGAGAAGGGAAATGGTGCACCTGCCACTCGCACAAATGAACCTTCACACACACACGCACACACAGTGCCCGCTATTATGCAAATGGAGCTGTGTGTGCAAGGGCACGCACAGCCCAGTTCCAAACAGCATGGCCCAGAGTTTGGGGACACCTGCTATAAATCAAGGTAGGCCTTTAAAAAAAAAAGCACATAATTCACAGAGTTCTTCGTTTATTTATTAAATCAGATAAGTTTTAACTTTTTTCCTGCTTTAATGGATCAGAATTTAGAAGCCATTTTAACAAGTCTTGGCTATGGAAAATCACCCAGCTCCATTGCTAGTGATCACTTGTGCTATTGTCCACATTCCAGAGTTTGGAGAAGGATTATCAATATGTTAAATATCCAGAATCACTGAAAAGCAGCTGGCTAAGAATAACATTGAAAAATGTTTTTTCCTTCTGCTCGGAGTTTACTTTTCAAGAGAAGAAAGGAAGTCACAAAATGCCCATGCTAAACAGGACCAATTGTCATGTCATCCTGTATGCCCTCTTCGAATAGACAGAGGGATGCCCTGTTGCAAGAATCCTAAAAAATGATTTATTTTTGTGATTAATATTGCTGTTATAATCTATAGTCTGCCTGCCTGCCTACTGTCTGTAACACAAATGGACAATGCCAAATCGTTTTAATGTTGGTGGCTATAGCTGAAGAAGCTTCTTGGATGAGAAGCGAAATGTCTTCAAAGAAAAAACAGAAAATCCAGTTGCCTCTTGGAAAAGCACCTTTGGGCTGGTGGCTATACTTTTGAGTGCCAGAAGGTGACAGCATAACCACATACAAGCTTAATGGGAATCTAGTTTACAGCATTTAAAAGGCTGAAAAAATTGATGCTAATAGTCTTCACCGTTGGGACTCATGCAATCATACAAACAGGATATTTTCCTGATATTTGCCTACATATCTTTGTTACAGGCATAAGGGGTGTGAACCATTTTCTCAATCTCTAAATCAGGGCTCTTCAAACTTGGCAGCTTTAAGGCTTGTGGACTTCCAACTCCCAGAATCCCTCCTCCAGTCATGTTAGCTCAGGAATTCTGGGAGTTGAAGCCCACAAGTCACACACTATCTGTACAAAGTATTCTTTCCCCCCTTCCCTTCCTACACATCTTTGTTTAAAATCTAAATTAGTCTGCTGGAGACTAAGCATGCATATCCTAATAATGGTTTATGGAATAAGCCATTATCTGAATTTTTCACTTTACCCTAGTGCAGTGATGATGAACCTTTTTGTTGTGGTGTGCCAAAAGTGTGTGTGTGCCGGCACTCACAATGCAATGCACCCTGCCCCCCTGTGCATGCATGCATGCGCAACAGCCCCGCTGGAGAATTCTGGGAGTTGAAGTCCACAAGTGGCCAAGTTTGGGGACCCCTGGCCTAGAACAGGGGTCTTCAAATTTGGCAACTTTTAAGACTTGTGGGCTTCCACTCCCAGAATTCCTGAGCTAACATGGCTGGAGGAGGGATTCTGGGAGTTGAAATCCACAAGTCTTAAAGCTGTCAAGTTTGAACGCTCCTGGAATAGATAGAGAGGTAGAAGAGAGAGAGAGAGAGAGAGGATAGAGGGAGAGAAAGATAGAATAGATAAAGAGAAAAGATAGATAGATAGATAGATAAATAGATAGATAGATAGATAGATAGACAGATAGAAAGATAGATAGCCAGATTGGTAGATAGATAGATAGATAGAGGGTCTCCAAACTTGGCAAGTTTGAGACTTGTGGGCTTCAACTCCCAGAATTCCTGAGCTACCATGACTGGAGGAGGAATTCTGGGAATTGAAGTCCACAAGTCTTAAAGCTGCCCTGGCCTAAGAGAGATATAAGCTATGATAGATTACAAGCCAGGAACTTGTGATTGACCTCTGAATTTCCAAGAACGCCTCTGGGTGTGGGGGTGGGATGGCATTATTAGTTGAAAACTACACCTTCCCTTCCCCACTACTCCAGTCGAGGGTCTTCTTGCGGGTCCATGCTGGCAGCAGAGGATTATGGGCATCGGAGTCCCACAGACTTTGTAAGCGCTCAATGGGGGGGACGGGGCCTGAAGGAGGGTTGGGAAAAAAGCTTGCAGGAATTTCCCCCTTTTAGGATCAGCCGTGCGTGTGGCGGGGGTTAAAGGGCTGGGAAAGGAGGCTAGATACGCCCCCACCCGGGATAACTTAGAGAGGCGTCCCTTTAATCCTCGACACCCCCCCTCCCCGCGCGGGGCTCCAACGTCACGATCACGGGAACCGGGAGTCGATATTAAAAGGCTGGGCTAAGCGGAAGCCCCCCCCCGCCCGCCCCGAACTCGCGACCTGGCGGACTACGCGTCCCCTAATCCTCCCGGACGGGCCGCGCCGTCCAACCCGCTCCCTCCCGCGCTCCCCCGTTTCTATCTGGGATTTGTAGTCTCCGAGGGGGGGCCCGGCGCCTCAACCGCGAAGGGAAACTACTCTTCCCAGAATGCAAAGCGGAAGAACGGCTGGTGCGATTTTGAAAAGAAGGTGGACGGAGCGGGAGGGGGGGCAGAAAAGTAAAAGGAGCCCCTTTCGCGAAGCTCCTCCTCCCCCCCTCTCCTCCCCGCTTGGGGTTTTCAGGGCGCCCGGCGTGGGGGGGGGGGGGGAAGAGAGGGCGGGCGGGCGGGGGAAGGTTTCCCTCCTCCTCCTCCTCCTCCTCCTCCCGGCTCGGGGGAAGCGGCCCTTCCTGTGACAGTCCATTTCCTGGCCGGACCGGGCAGCGGGCGGAGGGGGAGACGGGCAGCGGCGGCGGCTGCTCGGCATGGTCTTCTCGCTGCCGGCCCCCCGCCTGCCTCCGCCGCTCCTCCTCGCTCCTCGCCTGCCGCCGCCGCTGCTACAGTGTAGCGATGCTGCAGGGCCGGCGCGGCGCCCGCAGCGGAAGCCGCGAGGGTAACACTGTGGCCCGGCCAGGTAGCTGCGCCCGCGGGAGGCCGGAGGGGGAGGGAGGGGAAAGAGGGGGGGAGGCCGCGGCCTCTCGGGCAGCTGCTGTGGGGAGCGGGGGGGGGGGGGGGGGGGGGGGGGCGCCCCGCGGCCCTTCCCCCCCTCTTTCTGGGGGGGGGGGGGTTGAGAAGGCAACCCCGGGGCCTCCTCGGCCTCTGCTGCCCTCTTTCTCCCCCCTCCCAGGCTGTGGGGTCCTCACTTGGGCCCCATGCGAGCCCCTTCCCATCCCTTGCAAGGACTCCCCCCCCCCGCCTAATATTGACCCCTGGAGCTCTAATCGGCCTATATAAATAACCTTTTTTTCTCTCTCTCTCTCCCCCCACAGGTCTGAGTGCTCTGCCTTCCTGGACAGGGAGAGCGAAACCCTCCTGGGCTGCCCTTTGAGGAGGGGGAAGCAGAAGCGCTTGCCTCCCCCCTCCCCGACCATTCACTCCGGGGCCGCCTCCTTCGCCAGGCAGGGGGGTTCTCCTCCGTTCGGCCTCGTCCCTCCCTCCCTCGTGGTGGAGGGAAGCCTGGCGCCCCCCTAGCTGAAGAAGAGGAGGAAGAAGAGGAAGAAGCCAGGGGGAGAGGGGGCCCGGGCAGCCAGGTTGGCACTTTGGGGACCATGAAGAAATTTTTTGACTCTCGCCGGGAGCAGGGAGGATCTGGGGCCGGTTCGGGCACCCTTGGAGGTGGGGGTGGCGGCAGCAGCAGCACCGGGCCTGGCAGCGGATACGTCGGCCGAGTCTTCAGCGTTGGGAGGCAGCAGGTGACGGTGGAGGAAGTGGTGGCAGAAGGTAAGCCCAGGACGGGTCTTCCTCTCTTTCCCCTCCCCCCTCCCCCAAAAAAGCTGCTTAGCTAATCCAATTAGGGGGCAAACAGGCTTACATTTAATTTGGGCATTGATCTGCCCCAGTCTTGTTCTGTTGTGAAGAGCTGATGCTCCGGAGAACAGAAATCACCCTTTTAATATATATAAAATATTTTTTTTTAAAAAAAACAGATGGTGCTGAGGGCTAAGAGGGATGTGGCACAGGCAGCGGGGGTCTCTCTAAGCTAGGCAACTTTTTGGACTTCAACTCCCAGGATTCCTCAGCCAGCCAAGCTGGCTGAGGAATCCTGGGAGTTGAAGTCCACAAGTTGCCAGGTTTGGAGAGGACCCCCCCCCTTCCCGGCATAGAGGGACAACCCAGCCTTGAGTTTCCAATCAACAGGCAGCCCTGAAACGGGCCCTCTGAGAAGGTGCAGCCAACCCCCCCTCCATTTCCTCCTCCCCCCCCCGTACTAATTTACCACCACCCCTCCCCCTTCCTTAATGGTGTTACGTAATGCACTTTGCTGATGCAAACCCGGTGAGAAAGCCGGTTTCTTCGCTCCTCTCGGTGCCGGCCGCTGTAAATAAAGGGATAATGAGACGCCCAGGTGGAATTTCCTCTCTGTAATCTGAGCGTTTGCTGCGTCACGAAGCCGGGGTTGGCCTGTTGGTCACCAGGGGCTCCAAAAAGCCGGGGTTCTCAACCGTGGCCGGGGGCTCCCTAACGGTTGCGCTCTGTCCATGGGGATATGCAGGGAACAAAACGGCAAAACCCCCGGCTTTCGTTTTCGAGCTAAAAATGCACCTTTTTCACTTGGCTTTGCCCATAAAAGCTCAATTTTGTTTTTCGACCCTGGTTGGTTGATTAATCAGATTAATTTAGCCCACTGGGGTAAGAAGCAAATTCCGTCTGGGAGACGCAGATTTGACCTATCAGGTTTCTTTGTTTCTTGCCGGTGTGATGGAACAGCATCGTTGGGAGGGAGGGGGGGGGAAGAGGCTTATGCAATGCATCACCAATGCTCAAATGCCCAGAGAGAGAGAGAGAGAGAGAGAAAGCGGGACTTTTGCTTAGTGGAATGCAATAGAGGTGGTCCTGGCTTCTAATTTAGGGATGGGCCGTTCTCTATCCTCCCGCGAGGGCCGTCCATTCCAGCATGTGTGAGATCCCCAGTGGCGCATCTCCCACTTTGGAACGGAACCAGCTGGGATGGGTTCCGAGATGCTGCTGGCCAGCGTCGATTGCTGCAGACACCGACATACAGGAGCACAGAGGGACCAGGCAAGCAGCCAGACCTCACCACGTCTCTCCCACTTGCTCCAACCATTAGGAAGGCCAGGACACAAAAACCACGGAGTCCCGATTCGCCCCATCCAATCCTGGGCAGGGTATAAATTCTGCTGATTCAGAGGAGAAGGCAGGGATCTCGGGAGGGGGGCTTTTAAGCGAGGTTAGGGTCCCCCCCCCCTTGCGGGGAAGTTGAAGCCTTGGTGCTTCCGTCATTGCCGAATGAGCCTCGCGAGCTGCTTGCCGGTAGATTCCCTCATGGGGGAGAATGGGGTGCCTTCATTCCACACACACACACCCACCCAGCCTGAAACTTGCCTGCTTGTAACTTGGAATGAATGAAGATGATGTGGTTGCTTCCCCTCCTCCTCCCATCCTGGGGAATGCTGAGACCTACCTACATTGTGGTTGCTGAAACCTGGATGGGCTGAAGTAAGGGTCTCCAACCTTGGCCCCTTTAAGCCTGGAGGACTTCAACTCCCAGAATGTGCTGGGTCTTAAAGCAGCCAAGGTTGGAGACCCCTGCTCTTAAGGGGACACCTTTTTTCTGAAGGGCCAGTCGAACCATTTCTAAGCCGCAAAAGAGAGTTATATAGTATTCATGCTCGCGTCTAACTTCTTGCTGAAAACAGAAAACCTTTGTTTAATACCTGAATTATGCATTGGTTAAACAGAGCTGCAAAGCCAGCAGGCCCTTAAAGATCAAAGTGGCTGTTGTGGGCACATTGTCACCTCTTCGTTCTTTCTCTTTGGTTGCAACAAGAATTAAGTTTTAAGATCTCACATGGAAGGAATTGCTGGCTGGGGAATTCTGGGAGTTGAAGTCCACGGGTCATAAAGGTGCCATAGTTGTCCATCCCCACTGGCTTAAGAGGATGGTACCAACATTGGCTCTGAATACAGTTGTGCTCCTGGGGTCCTCCAGGACTCAAAGTAGATAGATGCCATGCCTAGAAGGGCTTTTATTGGGCTTTGACTATTGCATCAGTTGTGGCATTGGTTAGAACACCTGGGTCTCCAACCTTGGCCACTTTCAGACTTGTGGACTTTAATTCCCAGAACTCTGGGAGTTGAAGTCCACAAGTCTTAAAGTGGCCAAGTTTGGAGACCCCTGGCCTAGAATGGAGATGTGAAAATGGTTGGTTTTTTTGCCCTTGTCTTTGGTTTGCATGATTGTAATTTATTTTACATGGAGCTGCTCTTGAATAAACATCCATCAGCACATCTTTTTGCTTAGGGGGAAATCTTATTACTGCCAATTTACCACCATTGCTGTGGAAGCTTCACTGTCTACTGGTGAGCCATTCAAGGAGCTTACTAAAAGTGCTAATGAGCTCAGGAGGTGGGACTCTTATGACTGACTTGTCCCAGGTAGACGCTGCCTCTTCCCAAAGTCCCAAATAAGCAAGTGATGAATGTGCCAAAAGGTTCAACAGGAGCAGCTGCATTTCCTTAGGGTGCCTGTCTGTGCCCCAAAGGGAGGATGGACTCCCCTTCCCACTTCATGGCTTGTTGAAGCTTTTCAGAAGCCTGTAGAGGGATCATGGTGAGGGATGAATAGTGTGATCTATCTGGACTATGATTTAATTCGACTTTGCACTGGTATTTCATTATGCTCGTTCTTTCTGGATTCTAGTTAGTGTTGCCTCAGACTGAACTGGTACACCAGATACATGTTTATAAATAAATAAATAGTAAGGTAACATCCCCCACCTAGAGCCAAACCGAACCCCTGGTAGCATCACACACAGATAGGTGGAGTTTTCTTGGCAGTAGAACAGAAACAGATCATCTTTCCTTCTTTCGTGATGTTGACTTCCCAGTCCTAGTCTACAGCTTTGGAATTTCAGCCCACCCAAATATTAACAAGACCCCCCAACCCGCTTACTGTTGTGAAATCGGTCAAGGTCAGCTTAGAGCTGGGAAGACCTGGGCTATATCTGGGAGTCAACATCACAGAAGAAGGGAAGACAATCTGTTTCTGTCCTGCTGCCAAGAAAACCCCACCGATCCGAGGGCCCAGCTTCCTTCTGGGAGCCAATGACTGACGTGGCCAGTTATCCCATAGCTGTACCGTGGACATCCAACAAAACAAAAGCAATAGGTCATTCAACAAATCGACCTGGAGTTTCTTACTGGAAACACAACATGACCAATTATCCTAGTTTTTGGCACATTATTTGAAGACTCAGATTTCTAGAGGAGGCTCTGATGCTGGGAAAAGTAGAAGAAAAGAGAAGATAGCAAGGTGGATGGACTCAGTTGGTGTGGAGATGGGGCACCATTGGAAGGTCTGACATCCCAGGTTGAGAACATCTCGTCCTAGAAAAGTTCCATCTGTGTGGTCCTTAAGACAGGGATCTTCAAACTTGACAGCTTTAAAACTTGTGGACTTCCACTCCCAGAATTCCTCCTTTTCCAGTCATGTTAGCTCAGGAATTCTGGGAGTGGAAGTCCACAAGTCTTAAGCTTGCCAAGTTTGGAGACCCTTGTCTTTAAGAGTTAGAACTAGCTTCATGGAACAGGAGCAACCGTTGGACAAGACCCAGGACCTTTGAAAAATCCATAATGCTTAGAAAGGTTGGAAGAAAAGGGAAGAAGAAGACGGTAGGAGGAAGGTGGACCAGGACACGACTGCAAGACCAAGTTAGAGACGGAGCAGGGATGGTCCATCCTGGAGAAAGTTTAGCTACTAATCATTAACATTGACTTGATTACCCATAATCCTCCCTTCCCCCATAGGCATTCTTTAGGGGGAAAAGACGCTCTCCCAGGTCCTTTCGTAAGCTGCTTCCCGATATATGCTCGTTTTCTGTCTGGGGAGCTTATTTCAGAGAACATTTACACACATCAGCATTCCAAGAGTCATGCTGACTCATGCCAAAGACTCCCCTAGATTTCACAAGAAGTTGGTAGAGGTTCTGTGAAAGATTACGAGGCAAAAAATCGGTTTTGGAACATCATGCAGTGTGCAACACTAGTGCTTGCAGTGGTGGGAGTATTATGTGCCATGACCCAGATGCCAGCCTGCCTCTGGATTGGGTTGGTAGAAGTGAATTGTATTGCAATGTCCTTCCTTCCTCCCTCCCTCCTTCTTTTTCCTTCCTTCCTTCCTTCCTTCCTTCCTTCCTTCCTTCCTTCCTTCCTTCCTTCCTTCCTTCCTTCCTTCCTTCCTTCTTTCCC